TCAGGTTAAATCACATGTAAAATAATATCCATATTTTTGTGCCAAATATTCCTCATGTTTTATCATTTTAATTCATACATTTTGTGAGAGTTAATACATTATTTTATAGAAGAGTAAACTGAAGGTCAGAGAAATGATGTAAGTTACCTGAGTTCTTATAACTCATAAGGTAGAGACATAAGAGCAGAACCCAGATCTTCTTTGGATTCTTAGTTCTTTTCACTCTTCCACATTGCCACTCTGCTACCATACTCATGAATATTGATGTCTCTTCTGAAATTTTGGCATTTTATTCTGCAGACCAATTCATCACCTCTTCCTAAGTTTGAAGTGTACTTCTATACAAGCAGTTCTGCAGCTTGACCACGGTGGCAGAGATCTGCTATGACATGTGAGGTCCTTCTGTGATAGAGGATGGTGCTGGTACTGGCAGGCAAGTCTTCAAAGCTTCAAGGCCAACAGGATGTCACCTTGCCACATTCTGAGCGCTTCACTTTGGAAAAGCAGCAAAGTGAAGCCCTGTCATGGTCTAATCTCTCAAGGTGTTAGTGAAACCCTTGAGTTTATATGCATAGTAGTTGCTATGGTTTGGACTTGATGTTCCCCAAAGATCTACATGCTAAAGACTCGGTGCCCAGCTGGTGGTACTCTTGAGAGGTGGTAGAGCTTTTAAGAGGTGGGGCCTAGTGGAAGGTCTTCATGTGATTTGGTGCATGCCCTGGAAGAGTATTTTGGGACTCTGGTCTCCTTCTCTCTTTACTTCCTGGCCATGTGATGAACAGTTTTGTTCTGTAATTCATTTCTTCCATGATGTTTTGCTCCCTCCCTGCTAAACCAGAGACCGAAAAGTATGTATTCACATAGTCACGGTCTTGAACATCCAAAACGCTGAGCAAAAATAAGCCTTTTCTCATTATAAGTTGATTACATCAAATGTTTGTTACAGTGACTAACTCAGTAGTTGACATTAGTAACTCACATTTTGGAGTCTGATATGGTTTAGTGTAATATCCTCAAAGGGAAAGAGAACTAACTGTATATTCCCATATATGGGATCAGATAAGTTGTAATCATAAACAAAACACAAAAAGAAAGGCACAAATTCCAAAACCAAAACATCGTGTAACAAACTATATAAGTACTTGAAATCACTTCAAAACCATGTAATGCCCTAGAACAGAAGTCTATAAACTTTCTCTGCAAAATACCAGATAGCAAATATTTTAGGCTTTGAGGGCCACACATTCTCTGTTGGAAGTGTTCAAGCTACCAAAGACAAATGTAAATAAATGGACATGGTGTGTGCCAGTAAAATTTTATTTACTAAAAGAGGCAGTGGCCACCTTTTGCTTGAGAGCTATGGTTTACCAATCCCTACTCTACAGAAGAGGCAAATTACCTTATAAAAAGGTAACAACTTGGTAGAGTTGCTAGCTCACAATGTATGTGTAAATTCTTGGTTTTTTTTGGCTTCACTCAATGTTTCTTAGATGCCAAGGTTTTAGTGGTGTGCTAGTAAGTGTTTAATGACAGGTGAAATAAAAGTTTTGTTGTGTAGCTTGCCACTGCATGATTTCTGTGGTGTAAATACTCCTATCACAGCCAATTTCATGTCATCAACATGGCTGAATGTGGCCTAGGGTGACAAGCAGTTGGAGTGGCTCTAACACACTGCTGTCTGAGGATGTAGATCTTTCTGGATTCTTTGGGCAGAAGTAACAGAAATCTCAGCTAGCTCTAATAACAGGTAAAATGCCCTGTTATGTAACAGGCAAGATAGTTGGCAGTCCAGACTTGATGAATTCAGAATCTCAGGAACTTCGTTAAGTCTCTGGTTCTTTTCATTGTTCTGTTGTTGCTGGCCTTGGCTGGTTGACTTTATCCTCAGGCTAGCTTTCTTCATAGTTAAGAGGTGGCTGCTATGGTTCCCGGTATCATGTCCAAATTCAAAATGTTTACAGGAAGAAGAGGATTTTCCCTCAGAGTTCATTGGCTAGAATCACTTCACTTACAGGTGTTAGTGAGTTTGTCACTCACGAACAGGAAGGGGGGACCAATCATAACTCAATCCTGGAACAATGGATTGGGCCAGCCTTTCCTGATGCCCATGACCCCTGCAAAGAGAGCCCATAGATACCTGAACAAAACCAGGATTAGGATAGAATAGAGGACAGGATGAACTATTGATTTTGAATGGACAGCTGACTCTGTCTGCTACAATCAGTCATGTATATGACAGCTAAACTACAACTACGCTGGTCTTTTAGGTAAGAATCTTCCTCTGACTGTTCAATATGAGGGATGACAGTAGTAGATTATTAAGGATACTTGTCCATGACATGAAATTTTATTTTCAAGGGACATATCCTGAAACACCAGTGTGTTGCAGATTCTTCGGGAGACTGGTTTTGCTCTGAAATCAGAGATAATTCTATGGCTGATGAGGTCAGTAATCGATGGGCATGTTTCAGTGAAATGGCAATGACGTCCTTTAAAGGAATGTATTGTTACCTGCCTTGGGTTGCACCTCATGTCACCCTTTGGGTATGCTATGAACAAGAGTTATATGTGTAGGATTACACAAAAATGTTTACGAATTTTTACAAAGGAAAAAGGAAATGTGGAGGAAGAATTACAGGACATTCATTAGAAAAGGTAGCCTTGTAATCAGATCAAGGCACATATCCTGTTTCTGGTGTTTAGTAGTATTAATAATAATTGGGCAAATTACTTAATCTCTCTAGCCTGAGTGTCTTTATCTGTTACATAGGGGTATCAAGATCTACCTTCTATGGTTGTTGCAAGGATTAAATGAGGTAGTGTCTCTAATGTCACTTGCTAGTGACTTGGCCTACAGAGAGTGCTTGGAGAAAGGTAGCTCTGTATCATCACTGTTGTCACTGAGCCCCAAACAAAGATTTTTTATTCGGTCCGAGGCCAGTGATTGTCAATATTATCACTTCCAATAATTATTTCATTTTCTCAAATTAGTAGATTTAGTGTTTATATCAATACTGGTCTTCCAATACTTCTGATGGATTTATAATAATCTTCAGTTGTCCACTTGCTCTCCCTTGTCAGGAGACATTCACAGAATTGCTAATAAGATGAAGAAGGAGGCCCTTGGCTTCAAAGTGAACCACCTTAAGTGGCATTTGTGGGAAGCATGGTTGTTGCTTTGGTTTCATTACTTTCTTTCTGTGGAGGCTGCCTTAAGTCCTACGGGTTGCCTACAGTTCCCTGACAAGTGCTCCTGACCACAGGCAATGTGGCAATGATATGGCAGTTTGCTTCTTTAAGGCCAGTGAAAGAGCAAGAGTAATACCTAGCAAGACTGAGTCTTATATAACCTGGCACAATCGTGGATATGTCATATTCTGTTGGTTAAAAGCAATTGTCTTATCCACACTAGATGGGAGAGGTTACATGGAGATGTGAGCAACAGGAGCTGGGGCCCAAGGGTAACTTCAAATCTGCCTATTATAAAGAGCTTTGTGTGTTTTGCTCACCACTGAATTCCTAGTGACTAGAAAGAATGCCTAACAAATATTAGGCATTGAATAAGTACTTGTAGTTGATTGAATTATTGTTACAGATACTACTTTCTTGAGCTATGTGTGAGCTAATTTCTCCCAAGTCCCATGGTTTACCCTTTAGCTTCATGAATTATATGTTTGCTATACATAAATGCTGTATTTTAATTTAGAAAAATTAACAACTTTTTGTCTTGTTTTATTACTTTATATGTCAGAGACCTTGTCTTCTCTAGAGATCAAATAAATGTTTGTTTATATATTCATCTAGACTTCTTTTTTGGCTATATTCGGGCTTGAACTCAGGGCTTATACTTGAGCCACTCTATCAGCCCTTCTTTTGTGAAGGGATTCTTTGAGATAGGGGCACAAGAAAGATTTACTCAGGGTGACTTCAAACCATGATCCTCCTGATCTCTGCCTTCTGAATAGCTAGGATTACAAGTGTGAGCCACCGGTGCCAAGCTAGACTTTTTTTTTCAGTACTGGAAATGGAACCAGGGCCTTGTGCATGCTCTGGGCAAGCACTTTAGCACTGAGTCACACTATTTTTTTTTTCACCTAGATTTTTAATGTCTTCTCTTTTTATAATTATCTCTGATCTACCTGGGAGGTCAAGCACTAAATGGAAAGTTGTAATGTGATTAATGAGTGATATTTTCTTCCTCTACTGATCTTTGCTACTTTATTTAGGTTATATGAAAATATTGCGTGTTTACTAGCTTTTGGGCTATTCTGTTTATTTGTCATTTTCTTTTTGCTTCAATCACCTATTTAAAAAATTAGAGCATTCTTAAAAATGTCAAAGTTCCTGCCAGACTTTGACCCTATACCGATTAGGAGATGGTCTAAGCTACTGGAACATAGAAACTCCAAAATGTAGAGGCTCAAATAAAATTGAAGCTTATTTATCTTTTGTGTGACAGGGTAGAGCTGTGGATGTACAGTGCTGGAGGGACAGCTCTTACAGTTATCTGGGGACCCGGGATTCTTCTGTAAGCTCTATCAGTTTGCCCTATTATGATGTTCAAGTACATGTAGTTGGAGCTGCCTCATCTCAATGTACATGTTCCAGTCTGTTTGAAAGGGGGTGTCAGAAGTCCTGGGAAATCACCTTTGCCTTTGAAATGGCACCCAGTTTAGGTGAAAGTGTTGCTACCTTTACCCTCAATGGAGGAAAAGTGAAATGATATCAAACTTGGTAGATATTAATTTGGCTAAAATTTAAGAGGTTCTATTATTTAAAAAAAAGAAAGGATGTAGTTATCAAGGGTAAGCAATAGTCTTTGCCCTGATACAGTATTCATAGTTACCAATAATTATATTAAATAGGAAAGTAATAATTATTTCTTACTAAGTGAAAAAAGTCCACATTTGGACATGGCAACAAAATGAAAACATGTCCCTATTTTTGGTTGTAGATGGACCATGACCTACGTGCCAGGTAGCATTCTATGCCAACTTTGAATGCCAAAAGGAAGTCACTGGGCAGCAGACTTTTCCAAGATCATAACTTGCTGTTGGAATAAGTTGAAAAAAGAAGAAAAAAGGAATTGAAACCATGGCAAAAGTAAATAAATCTCGGTCAGCCTCCCCTCCTGATGGTGGCTGGGGCTGGATGATTGTGGCTGGTTGTTTCCTTGTTACCATCTGTACCCGGGCGGTCACCAGGTAGGTGAGAGTTTCTTCATTTGTTATGATGACATGGTTTATCTTTTCTTCAATATCTGAAAATATACTTCTGAGAATGTATGTGTATATTTCCTTTGCAAGCTCCAGTTCTTATGAGTCTGATCTCTTCCATAAGATCTGATGTATATTAGGGCATTTAGGAGTGTTTGGATATTTTTGGACCAAATCTTATGTCTATTCCAGCCATTTTTTCATGAGTAACTCAAAGAGATGTGAGAACATATGATACATGCTTCTTTTCACCTTTCATCTTCTACCTATAATTAATATGAAATAGTCAAACCTATCATATATGAAATACCATGGAAAGTATCCTGATTTGTTCATTAGAGGAGGAATTTGTTCTATAATATTTTCAAAATAAATCAGTTTTTGCGGGATTTTAAAGAATTGCTAAATGAAGGTAAGTTTTCATAAGCTGACGTGACTCCAGGGATTAGTAAGGTAATTTCTGCAAGTCTATCATATTAAAGCTAATTCTTATTTAAGATAAATCTATTTTTTTTGTCAGTACTGGGGTTTGAACTCAGGGCCTCACACTTGCTAGGCAGGTGCTCTTAGCAGTTGAGCCATTCCACCAGTCCCTAAGATAAGTCTTATTCATTAAGATTTTATAGTGGAAACAGAGCTAATTGGATGTGTGATTCATTATTCACAAACTGAAAAAATACTAAGATAAGAGATTGTAATATGTAACATGTGTCTTTAAATCTAAGGATAAGGAATATTATGCTAAGTAATAAAAGCCAAATTATAAAGTTTATAATAAATTTGTGAATATGAAGTTAATCTTAAACAGGGGTATGCTCTATATTCATCCCAGAGAGGAAAAACCTGTAACTTCAAAGTAATCCTTAAAAACCCTTTGGCTGACCAAGTGCTAAGCCATTGAAGCTTTAAACCTAGAATTAGATTCTTTAGATTAGTTTTGCATTTTGGCTGTGGAGCCTTGAGTTTTATGTTGAAGAAGAGGAACATAAAAACAGGGTTGTTTCATTCTCGATGGCTCACTTCTTCCTCTCTTTTATGATGTTGAATATGCTTAAGTTAGTGTGAAGCTCATTTGTTTCATTTATATTTGGAATACTTGAAATCTGCATATGCTAACTGTTTCCTCTCAGGTGCTTTCACTCAAATAGAATTCTGTTTGTCTTCTCTGATAACAAATTCTTAACAATACAAGAAAGTAAGTTATATTAGTAGCTTTATTTGGTTTCATCAATAAAGGCATTGCTATCCATACACCAACAAAGACATAATGTAGGATAGAAGCAGGATGTTTGTCTTTGCTGCACTAAGGTTTGTTGCTTACGTGTCATAATGAACAGTAGATTTGTTTAAAATATCACTGATGTTGAGTCTGATTTTTCTCCTGTCTGTGGATCTTGTGTTCTGGGTGTAAGGAGGTTGTGGAATTAGAAGGAATCTCTTTCATCTTGGTTCTTACATGGAGAAGCTTCCAACATTTCCATGAAAAGGAAGTTCTGGGAGTGGGCTTGGAGTTTATATGGACTTATGCTGGAATCTTCTGGGTAGTTGAGTTTTCATGATGAAGCTGCATTCTTGAAGATACTTTTTCTTATCACATTGTCTCCTGTAAGCCTAGTGATTTAAGCAGGATCTACTTATTCGATTAGAACACTGCTGCTAAGGAAGGTTAAGTGAATTATCTATGTGTTTTGTCTAGTTGAACAGATATAAACTGGAATCATAGTCTTTTTTAAACTTCTCTTCCTGTTTATTTACCATTGCTCACACAGTCATAATCTACTGACTCTTAAAACACATACACATTTATGCAGAAACCACTAATGTTCTTTTTAACATGTAGCTAAATAACTTACTGCTCTGTCCTCATACATATGCTACTCTTCTACCTGTCCCCGCACTACACACCACACACACACACACACACACACACACACACTTTCTCTCTCTTTCTCTCTCTGCAGTTTATCCTCTGCATAACAAGACCCAAATAGTTTTAAGTGACTTAAGCTAGGCATGGTGTGTGCCTGTAATTCCAGCACTTGGGAGGCTGACTGAGAAGAATCACGAGTTCAAGGACGACAGCCAGGCTTACATGTGAGACCCTGTCTCAAAAAAGTGAGTTGGTTATGGGAAACGCTGTCTTGAGATGGGCTACTGTAATATCAGTGACTGGAAATCATGGTGCCAAGGGACCATGTTATCTTTAAATTCCTCCAACAGAGGCTCTCTATACTTGATGTCCTGTTGGTGACTGGACATAGACGGTATTACCCACAATTCATGTATAAACAAGTATATATCAAGAGATGGTGTGGTGTGTGGACTCTTTGACGCCATCCACCGGAATTATGAGAATAACTTGGGATGGAGGTCCATCAATAATTGAGGACTTACCTCCAGGAGTAATTTATTGATGTTTTTCATGCTTGTCAGTGTCTTTTGTGCCTTGTCTTACTTGGCAGGACATTGAATCTCAGTTTTCTTTCAATAACAGATACCATGACCACCACCAAGGGCAGAAAGTCTTGCATATTTTTTTAGGCTGTACTTTTAAATTTCAATACCAATTGAATTGAAATCAATTCTACTGATATGGACTATGCAGTCATTGAAGACAAGGACTCTATGCTGGTTATTTCCAAAAATAAAGAGAGTTTGGACACTATATGGTAGACTCAGGCATATGTTACTGAAATGGAAATCAAAATGTGCTAAATATAAGTTGGCAAATACAGAATGTAAATTAATACTGAGACAGAGAAAGACGAAGGCTAGCCTGGAAAAATTTTTTTTTAATCTGAGTTCTTTTTATTTATTTGTTTATTTATTATTCATTTATTCACATATGCATACATTGTTTGGGTCATTTCTCCCTCCTGCCCCAACCCCTACCCTCTACCTCCCCACCTTTCAGGCAGAACCTGTTCTGCGCTTTTCTCCAGTTCTGTTGAAGAGTAAAAATAAGCAATAATAAGAAAGACATAGCTTTTTGCTAGTTGAGATAAGGACAGCTATACAGAGAGATTTCTAGCATTGCTTTCATGTACAAATGTGTTACAACCCAGGTTGATTCATCTCTAACTGATCTTTACACTGGTTGCTGATCCCTTTCTCATGTTGACCTCTGTTGCTTTAAGGTTTCTATGTTAATTCCTCTGGAGTGGGGACATCAAATTCTTTCATGTTTTGGGTTTTTTATCTAACCCCATACCTCCCATGTATGTTCTCCCCTTGTCATGTAACCAAGTCCTACAACATTGTTGTATTTGCCCTTGATCTAAAGACCACATATGAGGGAGAACATATGATTTTTGGTCTTCTGAGTCTGGCTAACCTTGCTCAGAATGATGTTCTCCAGTTCCATCCATTTACTTGTGAATGATAAGATTTCATTTTTCTTCATGGCTGAGTAAAATTCCATTGTGTATAAATACCACATTTTCTTGATCCACTCATCAATAGTGAGACATCTTGGTTGTTTCCATAACTTGGCTATTGTGAATAGTGCTGCAATAAACATGGGTGTGCAGGTGCCTTTGGAATAACCTATGTCGCATTCCTTTGGGTATATCCCCAGGAGTGGGATTGCTGGATCATATCGAAGATCTATGTTTAGATTTTTAAGAAGCCTCCAAATTTTTTTCCAGACTGGTTGCACCAGCTTACATTCCCACCAGCAGTGTACAAGGAAGGGTTCCTTTTTCCCCACATCCTCACCAACACATGCTGTTGGTGGTATTTTTGATGATGGCTATTCTAACAGGGGTGAGGTGGAATCTTAGTGTGGTTTTGATTTGCATTTCCTTCATGGCTAGAGATGGTGAGCATTTTTTCATGTGTTTTTTGGCTATTTGAATTTCTTCTTTTGAGAAAGTTCTGTTTAGTTCACTTGCCCATTTCTTTATTGGTTCATTAGTTTTGGGAGAATTTAGTTTTTTAAGTTCCCTATATATTCTGGTTATCCGTCCTTTGTCTGGTGTGTAGCTGGCAAATATTTTCTTCCACTCTGTGGGTGGTCTCTTCATTTTAGAGACCATTTCTTTTGATGAACAGAAGCTTTTTAGTTTTATGAAGTCCCATTTATCTATGCTATCTCTTAGTTGCTGTGCTGCTGGGGTTTCGTTGAGAAAGTTCTTACCTATACCTACTAACTCCAGAGTAGTTATATTAGTAGCTTTATTTGGTTTCATCAATAGGTCATTATTCCCTAGATCAAAGGCTTAGTGGTTAGGAGAAAAAAAATTTAGACATTTTAGTACTAGACTAGCAGTCTTTAGTATGCTAAGAAACATCATAAGGCTTCTGTTTTTGTTTTTAGCGTGCAGACATTTATTTGGAGGATTCTTGAGATCAGTATCTGGCTGAGGAAGGAAGGAAGCAAGATTAGGCAGAAAGGGTCTTGTTTTGTTGTTGCACTGAATTAAAACTAGTTTAAGAGCATTGCAGCTCATTCATGCTTTTTAAAATCTCCATAATATGTTTATTAAATTTAAAGTCATAGAACTAGCCAGGTAATTCATGTTCTAGTCTCTGTATGGTTAAGGGTGATGTTTCCCCAGGCTATGACAATAGTTAACCTTGCATCAGACCTACTGCAGCATATTGTCTGACTTCTCAGTCACTGGGTGGAATGGGCCCCTTCTTACATCCCTTTGACAAAAGCAATCACATCCACATTTAGTGTGGAGAACTCAACAGAACTGTGGCAAGCACCCAGATGTGCCACCCAGATGGCCTGAGCTGCAGGGCATGCAGTTAGCATACCACCTGTAGCTGTCAGTTTTCTCAGGTTTTCCTCGCTTTCAGGAACCTGCCTCTCCTCATTGTGTGCCCCATGGGGTGGAGGTCAGGGGAGCGGGAGCGGCACCACATCCGGTCACTGATTGTGGGTGGTGCAGAAAGGCCCTGTCATTTCCTTTGGGTCTGGCTGAGGATTTGTCACACTTTGACGTTTCTCTCTTCCTAATCCTGCATTCTTCCTTTTCGTTTGTAAGGAAGGAACCTACATTCTACAACCTGCAGACTAGATTCCATGCCAATATCTTCTGGGACTTAGAATTAGGTTCCCATACCGTTCTCCTTTCTCTTCCCTATTACCAAGACTGGGAACATAAATATAGGGCCCATTGCAAGATGAAAATGAAGGGACTCTTGTTCGGGAAGTGAGAAAAAGTGCTGTTAAAAGTACTGAAATAGAAAGCTTTTCCTTTCTTTCTTTCTTTTTTTCCTTTTTGATAGTACTGGAGTCTGACATCAGGGCCTCACTGGGCAGTGCTAGGCAGGCACTCTAATACTTGAGCCACTCCCCCCAGCCCCTTTTTGCTTTAGTTTCAGAGAAACTCTTAGTTTTTTGTGCAAGGCTGGCTTTAGACTATGATCCTCTTACCTATGCCTCCTGCCTAGCTTGAGTTACAGGCACGTACCACCAAACCTGGATTGTTGGTGAAGATGGGGTCTTGCTAACTTTTTGCCCCAGCTAGTTGGAACCTTCTGATCTCTGCCTCCCAAGCTTTTCCTTTCTTTACTGATCTTTCTCTCTCAGTTTTTTCATGCTGTTTTAAATTTGTTGTTTGGTGTTGAAAGCCAAGAAAAATAGTGTTAAACTATGAGCATGAATTTATTGTTCATCTTTAAGTTATGCAATGCCAGTTTTAAATAGAAAAAATGAGTACTGAACTTGTGTGTAGAATCCTTGAAATTATACAAATCATATTTTGTAGCTTGTACATGCATATGTATTTCATTTTTACTAGAACAGTGGAAATCCTTCACAAAGTTATCTCAACTCTTTTCAGTTGATTTCTCGATACCTGCACACCCTACCAGCATTCTCTTATCTTCAGCTCCTGATGAGTAAAGCCAGACTGAAAGGAAAAGGAACTATGAGTAGCCCTCTCTTCCTCTTCCTCTGTGTCATCATTCTCGGCATGTGACTGGCTTATGCAGTAGGAAAGGATATCTGAGGCTACTTAGACCTTTGTGATTTTTAGAATATTCTTGCCTCTTTCTGCATTTGAAACAAGTTTTGATTTAAAAGGGAAGCTATTAGATATTTCTTTCTTGCTCCCCAATGCCTGCTCAGTCATGGGTGTAACACACTTGCCTTGAGCTAGCTTTAGCCTTACTGGATCCCCTTGGATCATGGGCCCACTGGAATTCTGTGCTCATGAGGCATCTCTAACTCTACACGCAAGCGGAACAGAAAAGAATAGCAGACACACGCAGTTCAAGGATCTCCTCTGCGCAAACGCAGCCTCTGTGGTTCCATTGGACTTCCCTTATAAGACCCAAAGTCAAAGATAACATATTAAGAATGTTAAGTCAGTGACAACTGAGCACTGAACTTAAGTTTCATGCTTTTGAGTGCCAGGCTCTATACAACTGTGTAGACTGTACTTCCTGAAGCTCGCCTTGCCGATTGCAGCTGTCCTGATTCCACCTGGTCCTCTTCCTTTTCCAAGCTCTCCATCACCCATCTTCACAACTGGAGAAAAGCAGGAGAATGGAAATAATTGGTGACTATGGGCTGCTGGAGCAAGATGAGTTGGAAGTTAGATCTATTCAAAAGATGACAGTCTCCTCTCCCCAAGCCACAAGGCATGAGTTCACCCCATTATCATAGATCTGTTTAAACTTCTGGCCCCAAATTAGGACACCATGCTAATCTGGATGAGGCTCCAGTACCTACTGGTACTGATGCAAATTATTGCTTCTGCTTAATTTATGCTCTTGAGTTCCTAAAATTCACCAGTTTTAGCATGAATATTTCTCTCTGTGTGTGCGCACACAGACCTTTTCTGATATATTAAGAAAACATCCTGATTATACAATAATTCAAAATTCATAATAAGACAAAAACGATCATTTGTATTCCCACTATTCACATAATGCTTGGGTGTATTTTAGTGTATTTGCTTTCAGCTTTTTCTATTCACACCAAAAGTATTTTTCAAAAAGTAATTTTTTCACTGTTTGAGCAATTTTGTAATTTACTTTCTTAGTTACCATTATATTATGAATTTATTTCCAAATCAGTAAATACAGATCAATACCATCATTTTTAATACTTAACAGCACAGTATTTTATTTTACTTTATTGATAAGCCATTAGTTAGTCATTGTTGACTGTTTCATCACTCATTTATTGATGAATAGTTAGGTTGGTTGTAAAATTTGAAGACAATCAATAGTTCTCTAAAATATGTTCTTTTATATATATCTACTATCAATCATCATTATCTGATTATTACTTTTATATAAATCTTAGAATTAAAATTGCTGATTTTTGTTTTAATAAATTACTCTTTAAAAATTTTTTTTAAGTTGTATAACCACCTATTTATTTATTTATTTGAAGTACTGGGGTTTGATTTCAGGGCTTGTGCTTGCAAGACAGGTGGTTTACCCCTTGAGCCATGCATATAGCCCTTATTGCTTTAGGTTTTTTTTTCTTTTGGATATGGTCTTGTGTTTTTGCCCAGGCCTAGCCTCAGAATATGATCCTTCTACCTTCATCTTTCCATGTAGCTGGGATTAGAGATATGTGCTACAACATCCAGCTTATTTGTTGAAATGGGGTCTTTCTCACTTTTTGCCTGGGATTGGCGCTGAATGAATCTTTACCTCCCAAGTAGCTGGGGATTACAGGATGAGCTACTGCACAAGACTTTTGTTTATTTTTCTAAAATTGCACATTTATTCTGCATCATGACCAGACTGTTAAAATTACCAATCAACAGCGTGGGTTAAAAAAAATGTCTACAATGAAACCCTTGTTGGAACGCTTTACACTTTCTTTAGTACAGAAACTAAAATATCTATGATATAATTTGTCACAAATATAGTCCTGGAAGGGTTTTTTTTGCCTATATGCATAAGTATTGCCTAAAACATATCTTTTTTGTAGCAGTCAGGCCCTGCCACCACTGCTTTGACTGAGTTCACAAATCTGCTGTAACCAGTGGCTTCCCTGTCACTTCTCTGCCTCTTCTCTTCTGGTAAGCTTTGTTTTCTGGCAGCAATTAAAACCTGTGGCCACTGGCATAATTACTTCTGCTGCTGGAACTGCCTCAGGCTCATTGGTTTATAGTTTGGCAAAGTATTGGCCTCTACCACCATAGATGCCAGAGCTTCTGCTTCCAAAGTTTCCTCCCTTCATGGCTCCAAAATTTGAAGACTGATTGTTGTAATTGCCAAAATCATTGTAGCTTCCACCACCTCCAAAACGCTTTCCATCATTATGAAATCCTTTGTTGTCATACCCATTACCACTGTTTCTATCACCACCACAGCGGCCACCAAAGCCACCATGGCCAGTGAAGTTTCCTATGTGACCAAAATTGTCACTGCCACCAAAAGCCAACTCCACAACCACCACCAAAGTTTTCAGAACCACTTTGTCTTCTGGCTAGATCAGCTACTAGCCTTCTCTTGCTTTGATGGGGCTTTTCCGACCTCACAGTCATGATTTCAGTCACTTCAATTTTGCCATACTGTTAAAAATAATCTTGGCAGTGATGTACTTCAGTGTCTTCTTTAATGCCGCCGACAAAGATCTTTTTCATAGTTAAGTGGGGACCTGGTCTTTGAGAATCTTCTCTTGAGACAATTCTCTTTGGTTCCACAACTCTTCTTTCCATCCACCTTGTGTGACCTTGACCTCATGCCTGCATCCATCTCCTCAATAGTGACATAAGTGACAAACTCAAAGCTGCTGGAATATCTGGTGTTTGGATTTCTCACAGCCACACAGTCCATGAGTCTTTCCCATTGCTCAAAATGCTCCCCAGACTCATTGATGAACAGTTCCACAATTGCTCTAACTCTTTACAAGACTGAATTAGACATGTCCACAGTGGAAAGAGAGACTTTAACAATGCTTCTTCCTCTGCATTCATGAACAGAAAGGAGTGAGCTAATGAATGTATTCCTACACCACCTTTTAAGAAGTTATAGATGTTAACAAAATATCAAGATGAATAAGAAAATGTTTTTGACCTGCCATTTTCTCCATAAATCTTCCCCAGAGGCAATGGTCTTCACATCTACTTGGCTTGAGCAGCCCCTCTAGGGACTGAACGCTTGTTTTCCAAAATGGTACAAATAGCCAGCTTCTGATTTCTTACTTATTATGGCCCCCAAATTGAAATTCTTTGAAGCTGGAACAACTAGCTGATTGAACCCAAACCTGTAAGTTCTGGTTCAATTCCATATTCATTTGCCTTTTGTATAAAATGCTTGCATTGTATTTTTCAGATGTATCTCAATTTTTTTTGTGGAGTTCCAGACATACTTTGCTCAGGATTATTCACAAACAGCATGGATCCATTCCATTGTAGATTGTGTCACAATGCTTTGTGGTGAGTATCACTTGCCAGGATAGACAATTATTGGCTACTCTGGGACTGTGCATGACACTGATCTTTGATAGGGTCAAATAACACTGACTTTGATTAGCAATTTTTCTAAATACAAGGACTATGTTAAAAATTGGTTATGACTATATAAAAAGAAAATATCTACCCTACCACCAACCAAACCTAGGGAGATGACATTGATGGTCCTGTCTGATGTCAGATGGAAGAACTTAATACACTGAAAATGACACATACTATTTGGTTCTTTCATGTAGGGATAGGATATTGAACATCATAGAACTTGTCCTGGTTTGGAAGGCAGTTTACCATATAGCTTATGCTTCGTTTATGTATTCCAAATTCTTTGGCCTTCTCACTCTCTAGTCATATAAACAGCCATTGGATAGTACCGTGAGCCATTTCCATGTGATTTCCTTAAATGAGTATTACAAGTGTTGCATTGCATCTCAAGTCTTGATTTATATTCTGCTCCCTTACCAGAGGGTTCCAAATTTGGCTCACAAATAGCATCTTCTTCTGCATAAATGTTAATGCTTCAAGAAGTATTGGGGAAGGATGGGATTGTGTAATCAGGAGCTAGCATATTCACTATGGCTATAACTTCATTCAGAAAACCTCAAAGGAGCTCTTTAGGGAAGATAAAGTGTTCTATAAATTCATGGAAATTAATATTGCATCTATGTAGTACAGGATGGCAAACTGAGTTACCAAACTGGCTTTTTATGAGTGTCTTTATTGGTTTTGTTCTATTGAGATAAGATTTTGCTATGTAACCTAGGGTACCTTTGAAGTTATGAACTTCCTGCCTTAGGCCTTCTGAGTTCTGGGATTATAAGTATGCACTATCATGCCTAACTTTTCTTAGTAAGTTTCTAAGATTGTATTAAGCTGGAGCACTCTGTTTATAGCATGGACTCACTTAATCCTTTCGTTTAGATGAGTCTTGAGTATTTTAGAAAACTTTATCTCTTCAGGCCTTGTCTCAGTGGCTAAAAGGAAATATATTATTCAGTAACTCACAGTATCTTCATCTGATTTCATTCCAGCCACTGACTCATATTTGTTTTTAGAAAAAAAAATGTTCATATTCAGAAATCAGTTGAAGTATATGTCTTTGGTTGGAAGGAATATGAGAGCAATTATGGGACTAAAAGCAGGTTTCCTGGAAGGCAAAGTTGACTCTTTCAACTGATAAAAAGGTCTCAAGGATTAAAAAACCATATATTTGGGTTATGTAGCCCATGATTTTTTCTCTTCAACAGTCATTGTATTTCCAGGGTCATGTTATCAGTCACAGTGTTGTCTTGGCACATCATGGGTCTGTGTTTGTCTTTCTCAGAAATAGGGGTGACTCATTTCTTTCCTTTTTATCTTCTGGAGAATGTTCATAATCCCTCAGGATTATATGGTCAAAAGTGACCCAATATGGTCACAATGACTATGTAGGTCTGCATAGGTCAAGTCACAAGCATGAATTCTGTTCATGAATGTGAGACTGATTATACCCATTGATCTGCTTACCAAGTAACATCATATTGGAACATGAGAATTTAAAGTATGAACAAGACACTCCAGAGTCACACATGGGACACTTACTGGGGAAAATATGCCATGTGATGAATAGAGAAGTGAAACTTATTCATTGAGTTTGGTATAAGTTTTTTCATTGAATTTGGCATAGATTTTGTCTTAACCATAGGAACAGCATCCTTGAGAATTCAGTATATTCTCAGGTGATTTGCTTGCTCCTTCCTATTTTCCATTGGTAGTATATACAGTCAGCCACTATTTAAATAAATAGAAGTCATTGGGTTGATAACTGAGTCTGTCCTGTACATCTGAATCTATAATTTCAACTTTATCAATACAAAAATGATCATATGATGCGGAAATCCAGAGAATTGGCTCTTCTGTTCTTGTTCCAAGTCGTACTGGTGTCAGTGTGAATTTTTTTAATGAAAACAAATTTGTATGCCTTCCTTACCAATTACACAGTACTGCCCACTTTCTCTCTCCACTGAGTAATTATTATCATTTTTACTAATGATGTATGAATAATACTGTATCGAGCATCCTTGTGCAAATGACATGTAGTTTGGATAGAGTTGATTCCTTGTATTTACAACACCCTGCACTCCCAAGATTATGACTGCAACAGAATGAAGATAGGAATAAGCACTGAAATGCAAGTCAAGACACTTGAGTTCTAGTCCTGCTCTGCTCCACAGTCTGTGTGTGACCTTGGACAAGTCACTTCTTTCTGAACCTCAGTTTCCAAAATTATGAGAAGATTAGTGGGGTGGGCTTGACATTTTAAAGCTCAGTTGTTCTCTACTCTGCTAACACAACACCAGAGTCTTTTCACAGTACCCTCAAAGCCTTTCTGTTGAACCTATTTATTATTTTTTTGAAGCTCCACTTGGGAGTGTTGTCAGTAACCATTTGTCCTGTCAAGTGGGAATCATGCTGGGTGGCTTGCTTGCATCTACTGGTTTCATCTTGGGCTCATTTGCCACCAGCCTGAAGCATCTCTACCTCACTCTGGGAGTTCTTACAGGTAAGGGTACTTCTTCCACTCCGCCCCATGTAGGTGTTTTCAAGCACATCAACAGAACAGTAGTTCATAAAATATTCATTTTGTTAGAGGAAAAATTTAGTTGATATGGCTTATGTCTACCTACCTAGCAGATAAGCTAGGGTAGTGACTACACCACCCTAATAAAAATGCATTACTACTTTAATTCAGCCATATGATAAAAATAACTGCTGCCCTTCTCTTTGGCGTTAGTATATGGTTGAGATTCTGTACTCAGAAGAAACAAGATATTATTTAGCACAATATAAATTTTCAGCAATAATCATTCTCCTGATGTCTTTGCTAAGACATTGTTATTAATATTACTATTATTATTAGTGGTAGTATTGTTTGCAGTACTGTGAATTGAACCCAGGGCCTTGTGCTTGCTAGGCAAGTGCTTTACCACTTAAGGAACACCCCTGTCTCCCACCCTTTTAATTTTGTTTTGAGATAGGGTCTTGCTAACTTTGCCTGTGCTGGCTTCTTTCAATTAGTGATACTCCTACCTCTGCTTCCCAACTAGCTGGTATTACAGGCTTATGCTACCTCATGCAGCTTGCTAAGACATTAAAATATCTCTGCATTCAACCTAGGTTGCCCTTGTTTTGTAATGAATATCATTATCCAATAAGTAGGAATTCCCAGTTTAAAAAAGCCCCCTATTGTGAATATTCTGTGTTGCACATTCTCCCTCAATGTTATAGAAGTATCGCTTTAGAAAATCATATATGAATGGAAAGAGAGGCAACATATAGGCATTGCACAATTCACGCTTAAGGAGACTGCATAGGAACAAGATGGAGCTAGTTGATGGGACTAAAGTAGCCATTTACTCATCACTCAGAGGGCCATGGAGAGTAACCCCCATTCTTGTCTGGGTTCTGTGCCATAGAGGTAGAATGAATCAAGACAATAAAGGTATAACCTCATAATAAGGTTGCAAATATGGCTCTGACAGCTGAAGAAGGAACATCCACCCCTAGTAACTCAAAGGCCTGACTGCTAAGGTAACCAGCAGTCCCAGTTTACCAGGGAAAAACTAGTCTAGTTTTAGCACTGAAAGCCCCAGGTCCTGAACACCTCTGTCCAGGAAATTCTAGATTACTGACCCCCTACACTGTGGAGGAACAGAACTGAAGGTGGTTCTCCTTTCCCTTCTATGACATTCTAAATGTCATGAAATCCAGGCTTAAAGCCCTGGGTATTTTCTAAACCTAAAAAGTAATAGAAGCTGACAATTCTTAGAAAGATTTCTGTATTACCAACATTATCTGGGGACCTTCAGGGACATTTTCAGGTTGCTATGTTCACATATAATGTTTCCCATTATGTGATGTTTCCCACTTATGTGAAATTACTCTGGAACTTTCATGAAGTATATATTTTAATCCAAATTCCAGAGTGGTACAGATTATCAGTGTTGTGTCTTCACTGCAGGAAGAGTTGAGGCAAATATCCAGGTATTTTAACTTACAAAAAGGGAGGAAGAGGCCAATTCTTTAGGATAGCATCATCCAGATTTTCCAGTAAATTCCAGTTTAGGTTGTATAATAATTTTTAAGTTTAATTTTGCTCAAGAATTCATATTGTAAGTGACTTATTCTTAAAAAGAAAGTCACATATAGTCTATATTTTGTGGATGACTGGTGAAGAGAGACTCATTTTCAGACTGGAATACAAAAAAGCTTTGGGGTTCACAAAAGGTCAGATTTCCTTCAATCCAAGTCATCTCATTGTGAGATCATTTCTTCCATTAGCTGCTCATGGTGTACCAGCACTCATGGAGTTTTCTTTCTTCCAGGTCTTGGATTTGCACTTTGTTATTCTCCAGCTATTGCCATGGTAGGCAAGTATTTCAGCAGACGGAAAGCCCTTGCTTATGGGATCGCCATGTCAGGAAGTGGCATTGGTACCTTCATCCTGGCTCCTGTGGTTCAGCTCCTTATTGAACAGTTTTCCTGGCAGGGGGCATTACTCATCCTTGGGGGCTTCGTTTTGAATCTCTGTGTTTGTGGTGCCTTGATGCGGCCAATCACTCTTAAAGAGGACCCTTCAAGTGCAGAGCAGAACCATGTGTGCCGAACTCAGAAAGAAGACTGTAAGCAGGCATCTCCCTACCCACCTTTGGCCAAAGAACGAGTGCAGACTTGCCTTTGTTGCTCTTTGCAGCAGGAATACAGTTTTTTACTGATGCCAGACTTTGTTGTGCTATCCATCTCTGTTCTATTTATGGCTTATGGCTGCAGCCCTCTCTTCGTGTACTTGGTGCCTTATGCTTTGAGTGTTGGAGTGAGTCACCAGCAAGCTGCTTTTCTTATGTCCATACTTGGTGTGATTGACATTGTTGGCAATATCACATTTGGATGGCTAACTGACAGAAGGTAAAAATCCTTGAAAGTACAATTGATGTACTACCCTTATCCCCACAATGGGCTAAACCTTGAGTTTCCCCTCTTCTCACCCTATCAGATCTTTAAAAGTTAACAATCCTTCAGAATCTGCAGGCAACTTCTTGCTATGTCTTCTAGATTAGCAAACTGATTTTTGTAAAGGAAACATTTTTTGGCTTTGCAGTCCATATGATCTTTTCCCAACTACCCAGTGCTGCTGTTGTATCATGAAGGCAGCCATAGACAATATATTAACAAATGGAAGTAGCTGTGTTCTGATGAGACTTTATGCACACTAAAATTTGAATTTCTCTCTCAATTTTTATATGTCACAAAATACTATTTTTTAATTTTTTTCCAACCATTCTAAAGTAGAAAAGCCATTCATAATTGACAAGTAAGATACAGAACCAGATGGTGGGCTGGATTTGACCATAATTTCTCCACTCTTGTTCTACATGGTTTAGGATGGTAAGTCTGTCTAAAGTGTAGAGGCCAAGGTAAGTACAAGTTCTGGTGATAGATTTATTTCCACCCCAAGTCAAGTTAGTCCTAAAAGCAAGACAACTTCTGGCTAAGTTTTATGGTTTTAGTTGCCTTTGAATCATCCCAGAAATTGGCTAACAATAGAAAGAAGAGCAGAAACAGTCCAGGAAGGAGGATCAGGTACAATAATAACACATTGTAGCCACATATTTATTTTGATAGTAAAATAGTAAAACAGTTTCATTATATTGTAACCTTCAAAAACAAAGTAATAGGAAACCTATCAAGTAGTTCTTGCAGCAAATACTCACCTATTTGGATTGAAAATATATGCTACTCATTGTCTCCTAAGTGAAGGACTTCTTTTTGCATTATGACTTGGGAGAGCTGTCATTATATAGTTTCTCACAAATTATTTCCTTGGTAATTAATTAGGATTCAACTGCCATTCCTTTGTGTTATGAATATAACATTTAGATTTAACTCCACATTTTATTTGTGGTGCTAGAGATGAACCCAGGACCTCATGCATGATAGGCAAGTACTCTAACACTGAGCTATATCCCCAGCCCCTCCACATTTCTTAATTAAGGAAGAAAGGGGAAGCAAGGAAAATCTAGCTGTATAATCAAGTAACTCAGTGAGAAGGGTCTGAAGGGGGGGTGCCTAGTTTGAGACATATAAGGCTTAAATTCTTGTGTCAGTTCTGCCACTTATTAGCCCTGTGACCCAGGGAAAATCATCTAACCCTCAGATCCTCAAGGGTCTTTCTCTGTCAGATGGACCAGTACAATATTTGCCTGTCAGCTTCATGCCATTTTGTGAGGCTCAAATGAGGTTGTAGGTAGAAAAAACATTTGTAAAGAATAAACTGTTACAGCTGACATTATTCAAAGTCTTTGAAATAATTGATATCATGCATGGTTTTAGAATTACAGAAGGACACTGTATTTTGGAAAGACTTAGTCTGAACACAAGACTTTCATTATTTTTGCCAGTTCATTTTAAGGTCTTCATATTCCAGTCTCCTCTTTGTACAACTACTTAGGTTATTGAGCATCTGTGATATGCCGTATGTTATACCAAGTGGATAACATATATAAAAACATCCAATATTGCAGGTGGCCAGAAAATATTAGACTCCTGACATGCTATGTATTATTTCACAAACATCTTTAGAGTAACCCTATGAGGTAGGTAACCTTCTCATAGTTAAATAATTTCAGATTAGAGTTAGGCAGGTAGTAGGGTTGCAATCATCTACAGTTCCAATTCTAGAATATATAGTCTCTCTACCATACCATGCTTCCTGGGGAGATAAATTATTATATTTGCATATATCAAAAGAAAAGATCAGAAGATAACATACAATAGGAAGCCATATTTATAAAAAAACTGCAGTGCTCAACTGCTTCATGACATCCTTCTAAAACTTTTTTATAGGACCTATGCATCCTGCACTCATTCTTTTTCTTCATATTCACAGGTGTCTGAAGAATTACCGGTATGTTTGCTACCTCTTTGCCGTGGGACTAGATGGGCTCTGCTATCTCTGCCTCCCAATGCTTCAAAGTCTCCCCCTTCTTGTGCCTTTCTCCTGTACCTTTGGCTATTTTGATGGAGCCTATGTAACCTTGATCCCAGTAGTAACTGCAGAAATAGTGGGGACCAACTCTTTGTCTTCAGCACTCGGTGTGGTGTACTTCCTTCATGCAGTGCCGTACTTGGTGAGCCCACCCATAGCAGGTAAGTTTTCTGAAAGATTCTCCAACTATTCTTGTCATATTGCTATGAAAAGTTGAGCCCCCACACAGATGCACGCACACACACACACACACACAAACAAATTGGCTAGAGTGTTGGGAAAGAGTGAAAGAGAACAGGAATTCAAGAATCACCAAAACATAATTTTGTTCACAGCCTTGGTTTATAATTTTCTTCCACCAAGTGGGGACCTTCACCTACCTCAAAATAAAAAGTCCCAAATTAGAGTCTTGGTTCCATCACATACTAACAATGGGAGTGATGTATTTTTGAGTGCCAGGTAAGGGAACTGAGCTCTATGTTCTTTACTTACCATTTGCATACCAAATGTGGGTGGTATTCAAGTTTTTATGCAAAGTGGTAATGATGCTAAGTACATTGTAGAAAATGTGACCTAGCTATTGATCTAATGGTTTAGAACAAAGATAACTAAGAGACCATTTTAAAAGTTCAGGAGCAAACTGATAAAGGCCTAAACTAGGGCTGCTATTACAAATATCAGATGGGGGTGATGTAACTAATGTACAATGTAAGTCTAATTGGAATTGTCACTATAAATCCCCCTGTATAACGAATACATCTTAATAAAAAATTTATGAAAAAATAAGCCATGGAGGAAAAGAGGAAATTTTGAAATACATAACAACAAATTTAGCATATTGGAATGAAGAAGTGAAAGATGACTTAGAAAATAATATCATGATTGAAAGCAATAAGGAAATTGAGGATAGTGGCTTTGCTTGAAAAATAATGAATTTAAAGTTTTGATATATTAATATATCTGAAACAGGTGAAAATACTCTGGAGCTGTGTAAGGATAAAATCTGAGCTTTAGAGGGAGCCTGTGTTTGGAAATGCAGATTTGAAAATTATCAGTTAAAGCATCTAGAATATGTTGCAAACTGTAAACTGCTAAAAAAAACTTAGAGCATGATCAAACAAATAATTTAACAAATACTTATTGCATGCATTAAATAAATAATTAAGCAATAATTAAGTTATTATTTTTTAATAATTAAAAAATAAATAATTAAGTTACTTTTGTAACATGGCGATTGACACAGGTGAGGGAGCAGAAAATTGGTGAGAACCTTGTTCTTCTTTCTGAAGTGTATGGTCTAGACCAGGAATGAGGTCATGGGACTCCATCTGTGTGTGACTCTAGTGGCCTTGTTAAAACACAGATTCCTTGACCCTCTCACCTATGATATGAATCTTCAGGGATAAGTTCCAAGAATATACATTCTTCAATCACCTTTCTTGTGATGTTCATGCGTACTAAAAACTGTAAATAACTGGTCGAGATTATTACCTTTCTTATGGTAAAACCAAGATAGTCAGCCAGATCTCTGAAAATAAGCAAGTCAGAAAACTCAAATACTTTCTAGAAAGAGGAAAGGGAATTTCTTGAAGAAGGCAGGATTTCTGCTATTAGCTGCCTTATGAATAGGCAATTTATGATTACTTCCTAACTCTAGCAAAGGCTAAAGCAGCAAAATAAGGGATATTGTGGCTACTTGCTTGACCCAGGTGAAGATACCTGGTCATTTAAACTCCATGATGCAGGATTATGTGTCCAGTGCTCCATTTTTGAAAACTTCCCACAAAATGCTCCAACATCCTCCCTCCACGGCCAAAATTACTTTTTAATTTTGTTACATGTCACAAGACACAAATGAAATTGGGATTCTTGGATCATTTTTCCAATTCCTGGCCTTCATTTGGCAAACAGACATTATGGTAATTAAGAGAAGTTATAGGATTAAAATGTGAATTTTTATTGCAATACTTCTCTTATTTACTTATCTTTAAAATATCAACTCTCCACATAGTCATGTACACTTGGTGCTACAGAAATGCACAAATAAATCAGCTGATAACTAAAATATTCAAGGGCAATTTGAATGCAGGAAACCATGTGAGGCATATAACAAGTTCTATATGTCATTTTTGATTAGTGTATTTGAGGTGATTGAAAATAGAAACCATGTAGTTCTCTGTTGAATTTTCTTGACATAAAGAGTTGGAGGAATTTTTAAAAGAAGCTTTTTATTGACCATATATAATTGACTGCCAAAGTACAATTTGACACTGATTCTTTGATCATTTGCATATCAGATGCCCTGGTTTTCCTCAAAATGTAAAACTGGTAGAGATGTTGAGATTCATTTTTTTCATCAAGCAATAAAGAATAAAATCCCCATGATTGTGATGCTTGCCTTCAGAAGCATGTGTTTGTAACATGTATGATGGCCCAAAGTTGGATTTTTTAATTGAATGGGGTACAATTACAACTGGATCCAATTGATAATTTGGTTATTGCTTTGAAACCTCTTAGGGCAATTAAACATTTTTTATGATTATATCATCTTAATGCCCTAGAGAAATTACCCCAACTTCAATAATTTGAATGATGTTGAAAATTACAGAACATACAATAAAGATTTGAATTTTATCTTTTCTACCAGTTTTCATGGGGTTAATAATAGCTAATATTTATTATGTGATTGCTAGGTACATAACACTGTTTTAAGTACTTTACTTAATAACAACTATGAATTTATTTTAGAAGTTGCCCTAAAAAATAAACTGTATTTCTCAGTTGCTGCACAATATTTTTAAGCAATCTGGTTTTTGTCTCAAAAGTATAATGCTGGTACTGAAATCTATTGCTATTATCCCTACAAATAATTAAATTTGAGAGTGGGTAAGTACAGAGATTGAATTTTCAACTTGACAATGTAATTTTGCTGTTGTTTGTTCTAGGATGGCTGGTAGATAAGACTGGCAGCTACACTGCAGCATTCCTTCTCTGTGGATTTTCAATGATATTTAGTTCTGTGTTGCTTGGCTTTGCTAGACTTATAAAGAGGATGAAAAGAACCCAGCTGCGATTCCTTGCCAAAGAATCAGATCCCAAGCTGCAGCTATGGACCAATGGATCAGTGGCTTATTCTGTAGCAAGAGAATTAGATCAGAAAGATGAGGAATCTGTGGCTACAGCAGTGCCTGGTTACAACCTCACATGATCAAAAACCTTGAGCCTGGCAATCTTCAGAACTGATGGAGTTGGATCTACCAGATTGTTCACATTTCTGAAGTGAACAATTATTTGGGCAGAAGTATTGCCTTCCAAGAAAATTATTATTATTATGGTTTTTTAAACATATTTATAAGGGAAAATAGCAAATAATAAAGAAAGGTGGAGTAGCCTAGAGTTTCCTCTTTTGGGATTTGTGCTCACAGTTGAACTTTAGATCTGTGGGCAATGGAACATAACTCTATGGTAAATATTAGGACACAGTTGACATAATTAACTGTAACTGGGGTGATTCTAAGGCATAACCAAAGTAGAGGACACTGGACGGCAGCTTTGTTATCCCAAAATCTCTGCCCCTCCATCTTCCCTCCTTAGGTAGAAGTTGGATGGAAATGTTGACATGTAGGGCTGCTTACCTTATGCTGTTTGCAGGTGTGTGTGGTGGGGTGGGGTGGGGAGGCCAGTATTAGCTCAGGTGTGGTGGTGGAGATTCCATGACTTTTTTTATGGCACAGTTTTTCATTAGAATTTTAAATAGAGAGAAGTTAATGAATACTTGAGATTCTTCTGAAGACAATGATTAAAGAGACTGTCTTTTTTCCCTCTTTTAATCTTCCAGCCGGCCCTTGTTGCTGGCATTGGGTAGATATCACTTTGAGAATCCAAAGAATCATGAAATGTGATTATTGGAATGGGTCCTAAAGGTTGGTTGGTAAGATTGTCTATTTGAAATTGTCCCCTTGAAATGGAAAGCTCTCTTCCTAAAACTGTGTCCTAGATACTCACCTCTGTCACTACCGCATACTCACTCTAAATTTATCAGAGAATACATCCAGTCACTGGGCAACCTCTGTCGATCCTGAAATGTTAGTAACATCAAAACTTCCCATCTTTGTTCCTTCAGAAAAAAAGCTCTTGTTTGAATTGTAGACACATTCCTGTTAGGAACAGAAAAATGTTGACAGTATTCCAGTTGAGCAGGAACTAAATTCTTGAATCAGCAGGCTTCTGGTGAGTTTTCTTTGCAGATCAGACATTAGGTTCATCATTACCCAAGAGGACTTGAGGGGCTTTACCTGAAAATATTATTGTAGAGATATTTTAAAGATGAGATTCCTTTTTCCCTGTGTTCACTTTTCCCCCGATGTCTACTGCCTTTCATCTCTTTATAGATAATAATTAGAAACCTAAGTAATTTATTCACTCTCACATACCCCACTTTTCTGTGGTTTGGGGACATTTATGAGTTTTCAGGTTGAAGAGGGAAGGCATAGAGACAGAAGATTGTCTCCAGTAGTTCCAAATCCACAGAATTGTAATCTTGAATCCTAAGTCATGTCACATCTGTAAATAAGGAAAAGTTATATAATTAGAGGGGAATTTTCTTTATTCAAAAATTAAAATCTAAACCCCAAGGAAATATTTTGACTCCAAGGCCATTTAATCAATTCACATGTGCCCTGCCAGCAGTGCTGGGGAAAAAAATCAAAGTAATAAGGAAGATCCTAGGTTAGCTGATGAGTCCTTGCTTGTGACTGGATTATTTCACAAAAATCAAGTTAATACATTGCTTTCAGAATGAGATACTAGCTTGATTTGGTGGGAGAAAATGATATTTCACAGTTGTTCTTCAAAGAGAAATTTGAATGTATCTATTATCTTTTGAGAACTTATTTTTGAATCCATTTGCTCTGTCATTTGCAATTTTAAAATATTTGGAAAATATTTATAAAAATACAAAGTTAAAATGAAGTCATACATGTTTGGAATAGCACTTTACATTAAATGTCATTTCTTGAATCTTACAGCCTAGAGAGTTTTTGAAATATCACTAGCTGTAACTATTCTTAAACATACTTTTTCCTAGTGATGATCACAAAAAAGTTTTCTTTATGTGGTTCTGCAGTATAATTTCTCTAAAGAATTGTAAGTATTTATGAAAAACAAGCATGATGATCAGATGTTTTAAATCTTTATATAAAAAGTTGTTATATTTTGATTTTGTACATGCATAAATTTATATTTTATTTCCTCTCTTGGAGCAACATTTTTAAAAAACCAGTAAGAAAAATGTAGATTTTAGAGTCTACAATTTTGGCATCTGTGTAAAATTTTATGACAATGTCCCATGTGTTTATACTGATTGTTTCACAACTGAGGAATTCATGGGAATGATGTGTTTTATGGAATCAAGAATAAAATTATAGTGGAATGATTCTATATCTTAAATATTTGTTTATACCACTGTAAGTTCTACTTTGGAATTGACAAAGTAGAAAAGCAGAGAAAATTTTGTAGCTTTTATAGATACACCATACTATTGGGTCCTTTGTTCAGATTATAATTTCACTAATAGATCACATACTTCAAAGACAAAATAAAATGAATTTATAGTCATATGTTTGGAACCATTTTTCTTTTGGACAAGGGTTTTAGCTAGGAGGGTAAATGGGTCCGTCTGAATCATGCCAAGATGTAGCTAAGATTTATAACATCCTAAACCCTTTATTGAAATTTCTAATATGCTACATACTGTGTCAGACACATGGTCCCATTTAATCCCTACACTAACCTATATTGTTGCCATTTTGTAGATGTGGAACCCAAGGTACCAGGTCCCATAGCTCAGTAGCATTAGAATGTGAGAACCTGAAAAATTGGAAAGCTGTCTGATGCTATCTAATACTGGAATCTGAATCCTTTAATGCCTATTCAGACCATCTTCTTATGTAGGTTCAAGAAGTCATTTGGAAAAGGCCCTGCCTTGGACAGATAAAATCCTTTGGACTATATGTTAATCTTCTGAGCACAAAAGAAGGAAATTTTTCAAGTTTTCCTAAGAGGTCTTATCAGAAACATTGTTTCCAGTAAGTGGTTTAATTTGGTGTTGACTGACAGAGGTTTCTTTGGGAGCATTTGGGTTGTGTTTGTGGATGTGGATGGTGCGGAGCAAGCCCAAGGTGAGTTCTACCTTCCAGATTCCCTAAGCCATAACTTTTGTCAGGAGTTGAGCCCTTTATGAAGTGATGCTCCATTGCCAATATCTATATGGCACCCTCCTTCCTGGTCCTGAGAAGTCTAAGTCTGAAATTATTTATTGAAACTAAATAGTGTGAGTTTGGGGTAGATATCTGAGTTTCTCTTCTCACACTTTAAACTTGGAGGGATGTCTTTTTGTTATTGTTGTTGTAATTTTTTTTTTTTTTTGCGATATATATGTAGCCAAGACTTGTCTAGAACTCACTGACTCACTGTGTAGCCCAGGCTGACCTCCAACTCTATTATTTATTTATTTTTCAGTGGTACTGGGGTTTGAACTCAAGCAGGGCTCATGCTTGGTAGATAAGCACTTTACCACTTGAGCCACACCCCTGGTCCTTTTCCTTCTTAGTGATTTTTCAAATAGGGTCTTGTGTTTTTGTCTGGACCAGCCTGAACCTCAATCCTCTTATTTATGCTTTCTGTATAGCTGGGACGACACAATGCCCAGCTTTTTATTGGTTGAGGTAGAGGTTTCATTAACTTTTTGGCTAGCTGGCCTTGAACTGTGATCAGCTGGGATTACAAATGTAAGCCACTGTGCCCAGCTGTAGCCTTGAACTGTTAATCCTCCTGCCTCAACCTTCAGAGTGCCAGGATTACAGTTGTGTACTTCCATGTCCAGCCTCTAAATTTTCTTTTTACTTCACCAAACTGTAGAGTTTTATACCTGTTACCAGAGCACTATCAGTAACAATGACTGGGATTTTTGTCCCATACCACAGCAAAATATTTGGTGGTGAGGGGAGAGGGAAAATATTAAGTAATGATAAAATACTGACAATCAAAACACAAAATTTATGATGGAATTTCCCAAATGTACAGAAATGAATAATAATAAACTTGATGGACCTATCCCTTAGAATCTACAAGTACCTACACATTATCCTCCCCTTTGATGAAGAAATTTGAAATGTATTAAATGTTGACGGTGCATGTCTTTCTTCAGCTGTCCAGGAAAAACCAAACTTGGCAAGAACAGTTTGTTCGTGCTAGCAGAGGGCAGGGGTGACTAGTATAGTATCAGCTGTTGATGAGCCACACTACTTACAGAGTAAGATGGGGACCCTTTCCTTTCTTTTTATTCATATGTGCATACAATGTTTGGGTCATTTCTCCCCCTTCCCCCCACCCCCTCCTTTTCCCTCTGCCTCCTCCCTCTCCCCACTACCCCTCACTACCCGGCAGAAACTATTTTGCCCTTATCTCTAATTTTGTTGAAGAGAGAGTATAAGCAATAATAGGAAGGACCAAGGGTTTTTGCTAGTTGGGATAAGGATAGCTCTACAGGGAGTTGACTCACATTAATTTCCTGTGCATGTGTGTTACCTTCTAAATTAATTCTTCTCGAACTAACCTTTTCTCTAGTTCCTGGTCCCCTTCTCCTATTGGCCTCTGTCAATTTAAAGTATCTTCATTAGTTTCTCTGCATTGAGGGCGACAAATGCTATCTAGGTTTTTGGGTATCTTACCTATCCTCAACCCTCCCTTGTGTGCTCTCGCTTTATCATGTGATAAGGGTCCAATCATGGGGACTCTTGCCATGAACTTGAAGTCTGAATTGCAGATGAAAACTTCCTCCCCACTCTCCATTCTGAATTCAGATTTAGCTACTTGAGGCCTAGGGTGACAAAATAACTAAAAAATGCATTTGAAGTTATTATTGCTCTCATTACTGCTCTTAAGTGTTTAAGAGTCAGAGGTGGCAGGTCTGGAGATGTAGTTCAGTGGTAGAGCACTTGCCTAGCATATGTAAAGTCCTGGCTTTCATCACTATTACTGCAAAAAAGAAAAAAAGTAAAAAAGTCAGAGGTCTCTTTGAGGGAGCTAGGATTTGTCTAAAACTTTTTAAAAAGTACTTTATTTTTGAGGTTTAAATTGACATCAAAAGGTATTAAAATTAGTATTCTATATGGAGTTCTCTTAAAGTTTTACCATTTGGGGAAAAAA